TTTAAATATTCAGTTTATAAACTATGACATTTATAAATGTATGAATCATTTGGTGAAAAACTGACTTTGAAAAATAAATCTGTTCTTTTTTTCTTATTAAAAGTTAAATAAAACTAAAATATTGGTGGTGATTTTTGACTGTGTAGCTTTACAAACGGCACCCCATACCCTGAAGCTTCTTTATGGTCACAGATCATTTTTTAACTCATATTTTGAGCCAACACACCCATAACATCAAAACCTGAATAGTTCTTAAAATAACATTAACTCATTTTTAAGGAGCGTCTTCATGCCTAGTTTATGAGAATATAGATCATTAAATATTTGATTGAAATTGGTCACAGAGGAGCTATCAATTGTGGAAAACAAGCTTGTTTAAAGTGTTTGGAAGGGTGTTTATCAAGTTAATAAGTGTGTTGATTACTAACTCAATACAGGCGGTAAAGAGTGTTTTGAGCCACGATCAAAGAGAGATGAAGAAGAGTTAGAGTCTAAATGATATTGTTTTAATACACAAAAACCAAAGATTTTATTTTATTAATGAGTTTCCTTTTGATGTCACTTCCCTGTCTTACTTTGGCTGAGACAAATTCAAAAGAAAATAGGCCAGTTATGTGACAAAATGGGTAAAATCATGTGTATTAGGGCAATTATCTTAAGTATAAAGATGTTTTCTTTGACTTTTTGTATTTGAAGTATATGCATATCACAGGCACTTTAATTTCAAGCAAAATATGGTGATAGCATTGCACAGCACTCAAGACTTTCTGAAGTTTGAAGATTGCAGACTATACACAAAAAAGTCAAGCATGGCTTTTTATCAGACTTCATCGATAAAGAAGCAGTTTAACATCAAATTGTACAGATTGTCTAAAAATTACACAAATTTCCCCATTTTGCATGTCTACAGACGTATAGAAAAAAAATGTCATGGATTATATTTTAAAAACACAGCTTCAAATTTATTTTACGTCTCAGAGCCTGTAAGGAAATACTGAGTTTGCCCCCACCTTGTCTTCCTCATCGTCCCGACTGTACTTTCTCACTTACGTATTTCTGAATATCGGCATTCAAGCGCCAAGTATAAAATAGCTTAAAAATTGTATGAACATATTTTTCATTATTTAGCTCACTTTTTGAATGTTAACAAATTTCCACTAACATTTTGTTGTTATTTAAGTCACTGTTCTTACATTTAGCTAACTAAATTTAAATATCCCTACCGCACACCAATAGGCTATCAGTGTGGTATGACCATAAAAAGAGTCAAAACAAAATCCAAAAACCAGACCAAAAACTCAAATGATGATAAACTATTAGCATTTTTTTTTGTTAATTTCCTTTAAAAATGTGTTCCGCAAAAACAATTTAATACGACCTGAGAGTTTTGGGCACATTTAATCATTAGCCATTGCAAAGATACACACCATACTAACAGCTAGCATTTAACCTTTAGCTAACTATCTTTTATACCAGTTAGCTAAGGATGTTAAAGCAATAAAACAGACTGATTTCTTGCTTGAGGGTTTGCAAATGAATTTGTTTTGTTCCTCTCTTCTGGCATCTGCAAACTGTCCTGTGTGCACTTTATGGCCTAGATCATTTTATTTTCTCCAAGACAAACATAAAACTAATCCTGTGCCAGAGGAAGCTGAATGAGAAACAAAAGGAGCTTGATCAGAGATGTAATTTTCTCAGGTTTTAAGCAGCAGTAATAAAGAATTTTTAAATGATCATAAAAAATGGATGGCTGAATAATATAAAGCACCATACGGCAAACAAATGAAAAACAAAAGCGTGACAGAGCAGTATTCTGTCTGCAAGAGATCGCTGTAAAAGTCTACTTTTCTCTCTGAAGCTGGGTAAAAGACTAAAAATAACAGATAACAATGCTCACTGCGCTGAAAATGACTGAAGATTGTGTTGAACTCTTCCACAGGGTCAGTAAGTAAGGCTACGTTCACACTGCAGGTCTTAATGCTCAGTTCCGATTTTTTGAAAAAATCCGATCTTTTTGTGTGAACGTTCACATTACATTTTAAATGTGACCTGCATCAGACCCCTGTGTGAACGCTACACAGCACTGATGTGACACGCATGCGCAGTAAACGACGTGACGTCTCATCAGCCGGCTTGTTTGTTTACAGAGCTAGCATGGATGCTACATTTTGCGCATCGAATCTGAAGTTGTTGTTTAATCAGAGCCGATTAAATAATAATCTGACATCTTCTTTAGTTCAGTGTTTATATCTGAAGCTGCCTCTGACCGGGATGCTCCAGTGAAGCTTTTTTTTTTTAACGAAACTATGAGCTGGAAAAAGTATCGGCCAAGTATCGAACTTTAGGATCGATACTCTCCGCGACCCAGGCTGGACATGTTATTATCAAACTATCTACGTGGAAAATGAAAAGTAAAAAGATGAAGCAACTGGACTTGTGTTTTGGAGCTGTAAACACATGGAGCTACAGATTTAAACAGCGTGACTTCAGGTTAGTGTCTTATCGATCCTTCAGCCCCTCCTCCTGATGAAAAAGTCAGATGAATGTGACATGAGCGTTCACACTGCAGTCACTTTGAAAACATCAGATATGTATCCGATTTAAAACCACATACTGAAACGGCCTGGGTCGGATTTGAAAAAATCGGATTTGTCTCGTTCAGACTGTCATAAAAAAATCGGATATGAGTCAGATGGGTCAAAAAAATCGGATTTGGGTCGGATTTGCCTGCAGTGTGAACGTAGCCCAAGACACAGGGAAGGTTTCTGATTGTTGCCAACCAAATGTACACCTTGCAGAAGATAAACCCTTTGGGAGCTGACTTGTGTTTCCTGAAGACAATTACAGATAAGTAGAAGCTCTACATGAGCACTCTTGGTATAGTAACCCCCCCTCATTCTCAACCTTAAGTACAGCGGCACCACCAATGGTGGTGGTGGGGGTGAGGGGCGGACAGGATGGGACAATGGACATCCCCTCAAAAAATGGTCACCCTAGTTTACATTAAAGCCTCTTTCACAAGACAGTGTTGCAAAATCGCTGCACAGACTGGTCTGGCTTTAAGCTCCCCGGGGTCATTCATGAATCAAAGGAGCCAGGTCTCGCTCACATGTACGCTTTCAGAAATTAATCCAGCAGCGCGGAACCAAAAGCTGTGAGGAGCAGATCTCAGCCCGGCTGAAGTGGACCACGATGTATTTATTGTGTGAAGGGTGTAGGGTCCACCATCACATTGACTTTATTTCACACTGACATCTTGGTGACAGTAGTTTGTTTTGTTAAAAAATACAGTAAAGTCTCTACCTCTTTGATGTGTAGGTCCTGTGATTGGATCAACTAACGTAGGAACTCAGAACCTTAGGAACTACAAAACTAAGGCACGTACAGTACGTTTCAGATTATCTTGGCTCTTCCTCTTAGCTCTAGCTCCTCATGTCTCCACATCGCCTCTTCTCCTTCCGGTCCCCCATGACTTCCCTGGACGCTGTTATGGGGCGCCGTTTGTAAAGTTACACTGCCAAAAATTACCAGCAATATTTAGCTTTATTTAGCCTTTCATAAGAAAAAAAATAGGGGGGGGGGGGCATTTTTCAAAGTAATATTTTTACCTTGATATTCAATGTCATAGTTCCAAACTAAATATTTAACTTGCAAGTTAAATATTTATTTAACAAGCTAAATATTTAGCTCCAAACTAAATATTTAGTTCCTTGTAGCTAAATATTTAATTAAATATGTTGCCTAAATTAAATATTTAGTTAGTTTGTAAACTAAATATTTCGCTTGCTAACTAAATATTTAATTTGCAAGCTAAATATACCTACCTAAACTTATGTACCTACTGTTCATGGGTGTCTGCCTCATAGCAAACAAAACAAAAAACTGAATTAATGCATTTTAGTGTTTCTGTGGTTCAATATTTTTTAAACTAACTACAAAGTTGTTGTTTTGTCTCATCTTTAACATTCCCTCAGTAATAAATCTGT